AACACAAATAGGTAAAATAATGGAAAAAAATATATCATGCTAAAACTTGTCAAGAGAGAGCTGGAGTAATATTAATACAAACAAAGTAGGTTTCATGGTAGATAAAGAAGCTCATTTATAAATAATAGTGGGGTCAGCTCATCAATCCTGTACATATATGCAGTTAGTATCAGGGCATTCAACTACATGAAACACAAATTGGTAGAACTGAAAGGAGAAAAGAAACAAATAGACAATTACAGTCCTTCCTCCCTCCCTCCCTCCCTCCCTCCCTTCTTTCCTTTCCCCCTTTGTTAAAAAGCCATTAGGTAGATCCTGTGAGGTTGGTGGTTGGCCTGCATGTGGAAGACAGGTCCCAGGGACTGGGGGTTGGCTACACACAGGAAGACTGAGGCCAGGGGGGGCTTGGCTTTTCACAATCAGAGAAGGAAGGTATAAATATACAAAGTGGGAGTCAGGAAATGAACCACCTGGCATTGGATTAGAATTGAAGCTATTGGTGTAAACTCAAGATTTGTGCATGTCCAGATAGGTCTAGAAGATTCAGAGATAAATCCAGATGTCAGTGTGTGTGTGTGTGTGTGTGTGTGTGTGTGTATTTTCCCTTTAAGCCTGTCTGCTGCAGGACCGGGCCAACCCACATCTTGCATCAATGAGCACACTTAGTGTCCAGATCTTGGTCTCCAAACAAGATTCTCCACTAAAAGGAACCACAATCCTTAGAGAAACACCTGATTTTGGGACTTTGGCAGGGAAAGGACAGGGTGAGTCTGGAACACTGTGTTGAGTGAGAAGCAAGAAAGTACTCAGAGAACAAGGGGGACCTGTCGCAGGTCAGAGAAGCCAGTCTGACGCTCCCACGGGTTTTGAGCATCGAAACGTAAAGAATGATGGCAACTGATTATAACCCATTGGATAGACTAGGAATCCCCCAGTCCACAACACAGAAACAATGAACATATTAGTGGGAATAAGAGACGTTTTTTTCTTGTAGTACAGAGCACACAGATAAATGAAGGCATGAAGGTATAAGAAAAATCTCCATTTGGCAACCACTATAAAAATAAGTAATTCAGGCAAAAAAAAGTCAACGGAGGCTAAAATTTGTGAGATGAAAAACGGGATTCTACATAGCCTGAAAATACCTCCCCACAAAACATTTATCAAAGGGGGAAAGCACGGTGGAGAAATGATACAAGGGACACCACCAGTGCCAGGCCAGAGAAGCAGTGCACGCCACGGGTCAGAAAGGAAAGAACGTGGCTTCTGTGATACTCTGGTACCAAAAAAGGAAAATGAAACTGAGGTCTAATCAGGAGGGAATGCTGAACTCCAATTAAGGGTGCTCTCTACCAGATGGTTGGTCCATCATCATTAAAAATGATCAAGGCCATGAAAGCCAAAGAAATACAGAGACAGCCCAGACTGAAGGAGACGAGAGGGCTGGGCCGTGTGAGCATGCGGAAGGGGAAGTAATGCCCCGCGTGGGAGGATGGTGATGGATTCACATTAGGTAGAAATCCTATTTTTCCATGAACTTTTGGTTCCCAACAGTGAGCTTGGTACTACATTACACACACCTCCACACACGTGGGTGGGGCTTCACACGCATCAAGAGCTCAGTGTAGGGGCGCATGGGTGGTTCGGTCGGTTAAGTGGCTGATTTGGCTCAGGTCATGATCTCATGGTTCCTGAGTTTGAGCCCTGCGTCAGCTCTGCTCTGACAGTATGGAGTCTGGGATTCTTTTCTCTCTAAATAAATAAACACATAAACAAACAAACAAACTTAAACAAAGGAACTCAGTGCAGTTATGACTACATACTAGTAGTAGCTAGTAATTAGCCATCACTCTTCTTAGGTTGACAGGTGAATTTCTTGGACAACCCACCACACCAGGGGGACGTAATGGGCACTGGGGCAGTACCAGGGACACTCACGCAGCCTGCCCCACACCCACAGCAGTGACAGCAGCACAAGGGTGGGTGGCAGTTCCAAAGGGCAAGGGACTCGTCAATCTGAGGCCAGCCCCTTGAACACTTCCGCACTTCCCGGGCTCACTGAGAACTGCATAAAAACTTAAATGCACTCTGGGTCTCTGAGTAGCTGAATCAGAATCTGGGGAACTTTTGCAGAGGCTCAGCAAGCTCCTTTACTAATATTAGCTGAGAATGAATGGACTGGTTGTGTCTAGGCTCTGACAAAAGTTCTTTGCTGTTATTTAACAAATACTTCATGTGCCTCTTCCCTCTGCCCAGCCCTAGAGCACGTACAGAGAAAGCAGAAGGAGGCAAGGTGATGGGAGTATTTGGCTCTTCAGGGTGTGATGGGAACACTGAGGTGCCTCCTTTGAGCAGGAGTGAGCAGCAGGTGGAGAGGGTCAGGAAGTGTGTCCTGGAAATGCCAACCCCAGTAAGTGGGATCTCAGACATTCGCTGGGCACAGTGCAGGTGTGCTAATTGGATGTCAGTGGGCTGACCAAAGGACCCTACCTTGGAGGACGGGACCGAGAGTTGATCACAGGACCCCCAAATTCATGCTTATTTTTTTAATGTCTTGCTTATTATGGGGGGGGGAGAGAGAGAGAAGAGTGCGAGTTGGGGAGGGGCAGAGAGAAAGGGAGACACGGAATCGAAAGCAGGCTCCAGGCTCTGAGCTGTCAGCACAGAGCCCGACGTGGGGCTTGAACTCACAGACAGGGAGACCAGGACCTGAGCCAAAGTCGTACGTTAACCCAGTGAGTCACCCCAGGCTTTGTTTTTAAAGCGCCCTGTGCAGCACGGGGACTCTCCAGGCATTCGTCTTGTAGGAGCCATTCCCGCCACTCTCCCATCAGAGCTCACAGAGCCCACGTTCTTACAAGAGCCGAGGCTGGGCCTCTCGTGGGGGGAAAGCATTACGTGTTGGAGATGTGCTTTTGCCTCCTGAGTGTGTGCTAAGACTGGGGAGAAGGCCAGAGGACTGCCACAGTCCCAGACCGAAAAGGCTTGTCACCACTGCCAAGAAAAGGGCACAGTAAACGCTTGAAATGAGAGTATCTGGCAGCCCATTGGGCAGCAGAGCTAAGGCAGATCAGAACGAAAAGGTCATATACTGTTCATTCAGGAGGAGTGTGGCTATGAAGCTGTTGACAGGGGTCCCCAAGACGGGGCTAGGGGCTCCGGGGAGGAGGAGGGCTCGGAAAAGCCCAGTGCGAGACTGGCTACTGCCGCAGACAGGCTCCTTCCCTTCCTGCCCTCAGTGTGGTGGCGGTCGTCACACGGGCCACGGCTTGCGCTCCCTCATGGGGAAAGCCAGGGACATAAGAAGGCGATCGATCCTGGCATCACAGAAGGGCCTCGTTAGGATAGCAGAAGATGCCACAACCTCGAACCCTGAAAATTAGGCGGCAAAACTAGATCACTCTGCTGAAACGTCAATGGGGGGTGACCATGTTGTTCACCCATTTACCCCCGTCAGCATTCAAAAACTAATGTGAACAGTAGAGGAATCGGTGGATAAGCAGACTGTGGGAAGGCTTATACGGTTCAATGACGATGTACTTGGGGCGCCCTAGCGACCAAAGTTTCACTGCCAGCCCCATTCCACGAGCAGCCTGGATCCGCTGGGGAGACACGAGCTCTCACAGCCCTCGACAGCTCCTCCTGTTACAGAGAACGGCTTCGTCTTTACTTTCAGAAATGTGTACGCTGCTGATCATGGTCATCAACGCCCAGAACATACCAGACAGACCACGACTCCAAACAAAATACAGTACAAATTTATTGACTCCAATCATTCTTAGTCAAGATTTAAGCAAAGGAAACAGACAATGGAATTAGATTAAAAAAAAAAAAAAGCAATGGATTAACATTAGATAGAAATCCTATTTTACCATGAAATTTCGGTTCCAAAAAGCTCATTCCTAAATAAAATTGAACAATGATTTAGTCAGCTAAGGCATCTGACAACAAAATACACGCAATTTGCTTATAACCACATTTGCTTAATAGTAAGCATTTAATCAATGAAAACTTTTGAAGTGTGGGATTAATGTCAATAAGAAATCATCACCTTTTGAAAATTAACATTAACCGAGGAGAACTTTGTGGACAATTTGAGAACAGCACTAATAAATGATGAGGGAGCACTCAATTAAATTATTTTCAAGATTTACAGTAAAATACTTTGGTTCCCAAACGATGGTCTCTGAAAGGAATTTCTTAAGAAACCTGACATTCACCCATATTTCCTCTTCCAGCAGGTAAGCACAACTGCTCAGTGTCCCGGCTCGCTGGAGCGCACGCAGAGAAGCACGGAGCGAGCACATTAAAGATTATGGAGACGTAAAATTTCTTAAAGTGCTAAAGCCACAAAAGAAAACTCTATTTTTTAAACTTAAAAAAAAATAATAAAGCCAGTGTTACAGAACTTATTAAATGTATTAGCATTATTTAAATAATAATGCTTTTCAAAATTATTACAAAAAACATCAATGAGAATTCAGAAATTGACAAAACGGACTTGTAAGTTCCAATACGAATTAGTGCAATTTATAAAGAACCTGTTATATATGAAATCTAATTATTTTTGTAGTAAAAAAATTCAAATACCTTTACTAGTCCTAAGGTTCTGGGTTCTGGTCACATACACACATAAACACACACACACACACACACAGGGAACAAAGGCCAACTTTAGACTAGTGGGTTCTTGTCTGTCCTGTCCCAATCCTGCATGGACCACTGGCCTGTAGAGGAAGCTATCCCCTGCCTCCAGGAAAGGGCATCTTATTCTGGTCTCCCAGCTTCCACCTTCATCAGCACCAATGGCTGCTGTGTGTGGATACAATCGCCACTGGTTAGTAAGAGCTGGAGTATATTATTTATTTATTTATAAACATTTATTCATTTTTGAGAGACAGAGTGTGAGTGGGGGAAGGGCAGAGAGAGAGGGAGACACAAAATCTGAAACGGGTTCCAGGCTCCGAGCTGTCAGCACAGAGCCTGATACGGGGCTTGAACTCACATCCCGTGAGATCATGACTAGAGCTGAGGTTGGACGCTAAACTGACTGAGCCCCCCAGGCACCCCTGGAGTCTAGTTTTTAAAAGGCTGTAAACGACCCACTCCAAAACAGAAAACCAAGAACTACATACATACATGTCCCCACAAACGCAAAATGACCTCATGGTTGAACTCTTAGCTGCATATTTTGATAAAATAATAAATGCACACTAGCCATAACTGGTTTTAAAGGTGAATATTCTATTAGGTTGAAATATTACTATGAAAAACGCACACTATTTGCAACTTCCACTGCTTGCTTTGATAAGGAGGCGTTTCAGGCTGCCCCTCCTGCCCTCTCCCACATGAAGAAAATGGTTCAACATAGCAAGTTCTCAGATTAACAAAGAATATATTAAAACATCTTACATTCTTTCCACAATTGTATTTAAAAAAAAAGGCATCCTGAATACTTACAAGGAATAATGAGCTATCTACATTTTCAAAAATTAATTCTAATCAGAAAAAACATTTTCAACAACACCTTTATGAGCCAGAGTTGTAAAAAGTAAAGACGCGCTGGTCTTACACCAAGTATCTGCTTTCTGAGATCAACATTCTTAAACGAAGCAATTCCTGTGTCTGTCATTACTGCCTCACATTTAAAACGGTCACGTGAGCGGAAGCAGATTTTACTTTTTGACCACCAAAATAAACTTTCGGCCTGACGCTTGGAAGGTACAGTATAAAAAGTAATAGAAAAACCAGAACTGTGTTATAAATGTTTTTGGTTCAAAATTTTATTTGAAATCTTACGTTCCTTGCCTAGACAAAAACGGGAACAAGACAAAACACTGGCAATTTTCAAAACCTAACAGATACGCTGAGCGTGTATTTAGATCAAAAATATTTTTTTTTTACTGATTAACGTTATTAAAAAATCTTCAAAAATGTAGCATCAAGGTTCAAGTCCTAGGATACTGAATTTACAATGCCAAGACGATGTGCGGCGTGGGACTGTCACGCGTACTCTAACGGCCAGAAGCAGGGATTACTCTGAGGGCAAGTGTCCTCTGGAGGAGCGACAGCTACCAAAGTGTTCCGCATAAGAAACAGCACATTACAGAGGGGGCTCATCCGATGAACAAGAATCCATCCTGGTGTTTCACGGAAAATCGTAAGCTTTAGTTTCATCTTTCAAATGCATAGATTTCTTCAAGAGAGTGTGAAGAGTCATTGGTAACTGTGACTTCATTTCATCTTCCTTTCTCCATCAAATTTAAGAACAAAAATAGGACATGATCGCACAAAAATACTCTGGGGCTTGTGATAGTTTTCAAATGAAAATGAAAAAAAAAAAGGCAAAATTTCAGATGCAATTTCTCTAACCTACAAAGTCAGTTACTGTTTTATAGAAATGCTTGTGTTTCAATAAAAAGCGAGGCATGTCCTTCCTACCGCTGGTACGGAGAGTGGGTGACGAGGCCGAGCCCTGGAATCGTCTCTGGCGGCAGGATACGGTTCGACGCTCTAGTCGCGGTCTTTTTTATTTGAAAGAACAGCTTGCAGAAGAAAAATGAATAAACTTGGGAGTCTTCCTCCAAAGCACTAGCGGACAAGGATTTTGCAGTTTCAACCATATTCCCACTGGAACATGCTCAACCCCTCGGTCCTGAGGGGGAGACGGACTTTCCCCTCAGCAACGCCCACGGGACTTGGCGTGGCACCCACCAAAAGCCTTTTAATTACAACTGATACAAAACAGGAGCAGGAAAAAAATTAAAAAAGAAAAAAAAAAAGCAGTCCAAACCCTCTGGGCCAAATTAGGTAGCGGAGACTCATTTTGGACCCTTGGTAGCGCTTTCACTACCACCGAGGCCGCGGCCGGAGCACGAGTGCACTGAGGACACAAGAAACTCCCAGCGGTTCTAACCGAAACCGTCACGAGACGGAGGCGGGAAGCTCACGCTGTGAATTCCGTTCTCCAGGGCGCGTGGGGCCTGCGGGGCGGTGCGCCCCTGCCTCCCAGCGCCAACTCCGGGCCGAGCGCACTGCACGCTGCCGACTCCAGGGCCCGGGCTCCGCGTGCGCAGATGTGCGTCCCGACCTCGCGCGTTACACTAACGTGGTTACACTCGACATCAGTGAGCGCCTCGTGCCACCTTTGTTTTCTGTCCCAAATGCGCTCGGGTTTTCCCTGTGGCAGCGCGAGGTCGGGATGCCGACACCCCGCGTGCCCCGCGTGTGGGTCGGAGAGGAGAGCCGGGATGTGCACGCACACACGGCCCGGGGCAGCAGCTCTGACCGCAGCGCCCAGCGCCGCTGAAGCTTCCGCAAACTTAGAGGCCTTCCAGAAACCCTCGTGTTTTCCTCGCCCACATCTTTCATCCTTAATTATAGGAAGTGACCCAAGAGCAACTTTCTGTTATTTTATAAAAATCTAAGTATTACTATTGCTGATTTAAACTCCTCACAACTTTCATACAAAAAAATGTCCACGGGACCACAAAATACCAAATATTTATTGTTATCAAGTGTCAGGATAACTTATTACAGTTGAGGCTTATTGTTTTATTGCTAAAGTGTCCTAAGATCTAAGTCAACACTGCAAACTACTCCGCTTCCTCCTGCCATGCTGCGCGCTTCAGGACACGGCTGAGACGTAACCAGAACTTAGGGGTCCGATACAATCGAAAGAAATACTCAAATAGTATTTCTCGGACCGCAAGTCAGTAAAAACCCCAAACCACCTCCAGCAAGAGAACCGACCCTGTGGAACGAGGGCCCATGCAAACCACCTGAATCGGTCGGATTTCGACAGGGACGAAGCCAGGTCGTCGCGTGGCTGTGAGGTCCGGAGCACAAGGCAGTTTAGTTTCTCTAGGCCGAGTAAGGGCCCTGCTAGTGACTATCCATTTACCTCAAGCTTTTATTCAAGCAAAACAATTTCCAACCTTTATTATTCTCTTTCTCCAAAAAATATTTTGTTTCTCACGCACGTCTCACAATCTGGTTGAAACCTGGAGGCTCCCCCCGTTCCGTAGGAGGGAAGAGGGCTGGCCCCTCAGTTGTGGCTTTGCTCGTGACTCCAAAGACTGAAGGCCGTCTTGAATGTCCTGTGGCACAGTTTGCACATGAACTGTCTCTTAAATGTGATTGCCGACAGGGGCGGGGCGTGGTAGAAAAGCGTGTCGGACTCTTGGGGCACAAAGAGCTTCTCGGCGGCTGGAGCGGGGCTCTCGGCCGCGCCCGTCGGGCTGTCGGGCTCCAGAGGCTGGATCTTGGGCAGCGGCGGGGGTGGGGGCAGCGGGGGAGGGGACGGCGAGTTTGTGGGGAGCGGGCAGGCCTCCGAGTCCTTGTGTGCGGGCTCCTCAGCAGCCTGGGACATGTGGGACTGGAAGTGGCTCCAGAGGCGGAAGTTGGTGCGGAAGGCTTTGTTGCACACGTGGCAGATGAAGGGCTTCACGGAGCACAGCAGCTCCTGGTGCCGCTCCAGCTGCTTGTGCGCCGTGAACGTCTTGCCGCATTTCTCGCACGGCCACAGGTTGCTGTCCTTGCTGGGGCCCGCGTCCTTGGCGGCCGCATGGGCCTCGGGCGCCTCCTCCTCGGCCTCCTCGGCGGGCTCCTCCTTGACGTGGATCTTCAGTTGCTTCGAAAGGCTGAGGTCCTCGGGGAGACAGGAAGAGTCCTCGGAGTCGAAGTTCACCTGTTCGGAGCAGTCGCTGAACGCGGCGTCGTCCTTGGCGGCCGCTGCGTGGTTGGCCTTCTGAGGCTCGGCCTGGGCCTGGGGCCGGGAGGCGGCGGCGGCGGTGTCGCCGTTGTGGTCCAGGCCGGGCGGGGAGGAGTTCTCGGCCGGCGCCATCGTGTTCTGGTTGTGGACCTCGACCTGGTGCCGCCAGATGCTGAAGGAGGACTTGAAGGTGCGCATGCACTCGAGGCACGTCAGCTTCTTGTACTCGCACTTGCCCTCGTGCTCCCGCTTGAGCTCGGGCGAGAAAAACCTAAGGCTGCAGTAGGGGCAAACGGTTGCGTTCCGGCACAGCCGCTCGTGGCTTCCTTGCTCTAGAAGAGAAGAGAGCTTAGCATTACAGAGGCGGCACTGGTAAACCTCCTTGTTCTCTACCGGGCTCCCGAGAGAAACATGCTCTTTGGGCTTAGCAGCTCTACTGAGGCCAACGGGCTTTTCTCCCGGGTGCATCTTTATGTGCTGCTTGAACTGCGAGAGAAAGCGGTAGGCCTTTCCGCAGTAAGTGCAGATGTAGGCTCCTTTGGCTCGCGACCGCAAGTTCCTCTTGATGGCTTGGGCCTGGGAGCTACCCTGCGCCTGGAAAGCGGGCTTGCAGCGCCTCAGCTTAATGATCAGGGCCTTCTTAATCTCTCTCTCTCTCACTATGTCAATGAGCTTTCTCTGGAACTTCTCGTCCAGCACGGCGTGTGAGCTGGAGGCCGGCGACGGGTTCCGCACCACGCCGTGCTGGGTCTGGCAGTGCGTCCACACCTTGAAGTTCGTGTGAAAGCGCTTGTGGCAGATGTCGCAAGCATAGGGCTTCTCTGGGTTGTGGTACATGTTAGTGTGCCGGTGAAGGCCTGCTGTGGACCTAAAGATCTTAAGGCAGTGTTTGCATTTAAACTTTTTGTTTGGTCTCGTTCCCTCCAACTCACCAAATTCCTCTTTATTCAAGTCAGAGTCTGGAAACTCGGCACCGGGGAGAGGAGGGCTCGAGCCCTCCTCTAAGTTCTGTTCGGACACCGGAGCCCCGTGCTCGCCCTCCTTTACCTTCTTAAATGGCAGTCTTCGGTCCGCCTGGAACCTCCTTTTGGCCGGGAGCCTGCTCATGTCTTTTTGGTCGTCTTCGGTCTTCAGGGAGAGGTCTCTGGTGACGGACGACGCGGCCGCCGGGTCTCCCACGGTGACTCGGATGATGTCGGAGGGGTCCCCCGGCGGGCTGCGGGGCTCCGTCTTGACTCGCACCTCCGTCACGGCAGGCTCGCCCTCCCTGTCGGTGGACTGAGAGGCGCTGAAGGACCTGAGGCGGTGCGGCTGGGGGGCCGGGGGCCGGTCCTCTGGGGCGGACTTGTCGCCGCGCTCTTTCAAAGCGGGCTTTTGAGACAGGGCACAGAACACGTTCGCGGGCACCTCCCCGGCCACTGCAGACGGCCCCTGGGAAGACTTCAGGTCTATGGAGGGCGAGTAGGCCGGAACCTGGCTGTCCATGGACAGCGACCGTCTGAGGAGACTCTTGACGAGCGGGCCACTCCTGTCGATGCCCTGCTTTCCGGAACCGGGGCCGCCCGACGGGACCACCAACCCCAGCTTCGAATAGTACAGCAGGTTTCTGTCTTCGCCCGGCCCGCTTCCCTGGCCAGTCTCCTTCAGCACGTAGGGGGCCTCCGACGAGCTTCGAAGAGACAGGACGGGCGGTCGTGGTCTCTTCAAGGCCAGCTCTATGGCCCTCCCTCGAGGCAGCTGGCCGCTCAGACCCACCTCCTCGTCCGCCGCCTCCCTGTCCGGCAGAGACTTGGACTGCAGTGCTGCACTCCTCTTCCCCAGGCTGCTCCTGTGAGGATCGTCCAGCGACCCGGAATGCTCCAGAGGCTGTGCATAGCCCGCCGGACCATCCTTGGGCCAACAACTCTTGTCAGCCGCTGACAACGAGTGAGGCGCTTCCGCTGGCTTTGGGACGTGGGGCTTGGCGGTGCTGGTCTTGACCGCGAGGCTGGGGGAGGGCCGCGAAGTGTGGCTCAGGTCGGGCGGATTCTGACCGGCAGCTTTGCCTTGTGCTTCGTTTCTGCTCTGACAAACGATGACACTTCTCTTCTGAGAACTGCTTTCGTCATCGTCTATGAATATTTTCTTCCTGTTGGGACACGTCGGAAAGGGGGCCTGGGGGGTTTTCGAGACGATGTTCGTGAGAAAGGAAATCCCGAGGCTGTAGCCCAGCTCCTGCACGGCAGCGAGGCTGCTTTTCTCGACAAATAAAGATGAAGAATAAATGTAGTTCAAAACATTATCAAAAGCATCTGGTTCACAAAAATCAAGTTGAAATACAGTTTGTGACTCATTCTCCTTATTTGTGAATAAACTCTGGAAGTATTCACTGCTGGCAGCCAAGACATTTTTGTGAGCTCGAAATTTCTGGTCTCCGACAATCAGCAGCACGTCACACAGCTGCCCCTTGAGGCGCTCCTCGTTGAGCGCGCTGAGGAGGGAGATGGCGTGGGCCGGGTTGATGTAGTGCAGCAGCCCCTCCATCGCGCCGGCTGACCTGAAAGACAAAGCGTACAATTAACATGAGAAACGTGCAAGGTGCTGATACCGAGCCGACTGCAGGCTGACAGAAACTCTCACTTAAATACCATGGGCAACAGAAGTGAATCCATCTTGTGGCTCCCGGGGACCATCGATCACTAAAGTGGAGGGGTTTTAGGACTGGGACTGTACCTCCTTCAGAAGGCCGCTGGAGCTCGGCAGCTATGTAGAAAAGCAGTATTTGACATTAAAGGTTTGTTATTTATGGTTCCTCTCCATAAATATTCTATTTCTTTTACCTCAGAGAATAAGTACAAAGTCCCAGAACGCCCGAGTCTGTATTCTGAACACAAAGTCAGTCTTCTTACCGGACGTACTTATACACGATGTGAGCTGTTACTACTGGGTTGCAAAGGGGTGGCCTCACCAGACCTTTAAAAATAGGCAAAAATCTGGGGCACCTGGGGGGCTCAGCAGATTAAGCGTCCGACTCTTGATTCAGCTCGGGTCGTGATCCCAGGGTCATGGGATCGGGCCCCGTGTCCAGCTCCTCGCTGAGTGTGGAGCCTGCTTAAGATTCTCCCTCTTTCTCTGTCTGCCCCTCCCTCGTGCATATGCATGCTCACACGCTCTCTCTAAAAAAATAAAAACAAAAATAGGGAAGAATCTACAAAGAGATAGAAACTTCACTCACTGATCACTGCCATATCAGTGTTTAGCAACGGTTAGAAATGTTAACAACAGAAGAGTTTGGTTTCTGCCTTACCCTGAACACCTTGCAATCTCCTGAATATGATTTTCTTACCAAACCACATTTTCGACAACAGCACAGAGGAAACTCCGGCCTGATCTAAACTTAATTATTACTAATTTTAAGTTAACAGGTCTGATTTCAGCTCTGTACCTCTCTTCCAATCTAAGGTGAGATGAGAAAAGGCCTTGGTGGCTGGGCGCAGGCTTGGACAGAGACGCTGGGTGACAACTGCTTCCTTCCTGCCTGACAACTAGCCCCCCCGAGTATCAGCTCCATCACATGAAATATGGGGGACTGTGCCCTTCTTTAGGGCTGTTGCAAAGACTGGATGAGCTAGCATCTCTCACACGATAAGCATTTAACTCAGTATCAAAGAAAAAGGTCTATATTCACGCCACCCATGCTCTCAATGAAGGGACAGAGACCGCAATCAAGTGTCTCTTGGTTGCAAGAGTGAATCAAGCCTTCACTTGGGCTTCTGTTACTGTAACACTTCATCTCTGGTTTCACTGCAGGGTCTTCTTTAAAATAGTTATGATCTGGGGCGCCTGTGGCTCAGTCGGTTAAGCATTTGACTTTGGCTCAGGGCATGATCTCACTGTTCATGGGTTCGAGCCCCATGTTGGGCTCTGTGCTGCCAGTTCAGAGCCTGAAGCCTGCTTCGGATTCTGTATCTCCCCCTCTCTCTGCCCCTCCCCCGCTCACACTCTGTCTCTCTCTCTCTCTCTCTCTGAAAAATAAACAAGCATTTAAAAAAATAAAAAAAAACCCAGCTATGACATTTATTTTTGAATGGATTCAGAGTAACTCGGTTTTATCATCCTGTAAGGGGCAGGGTGTAAATGTAGCAAACCTGGCACGCAGCACAACTGGCGAGTTCTCCTCTCGTTTCAAAGGATCACCCTTTTCTCATCAGGCGGGCTCCTCAGAAGGGCCCACAGCATCCGCGAGGCCCCAGCCCAGACTCATGAAACACAGCACACAAACTGCTTTGCTACAGTTCTGACTCTGTTATGGTGCTGGCTCCACAGAACGCACTCAGGGACGTGCCTGCTTCCGGAGGTGCTGCCTGCTGGGCAGCCTGTCCCCAAACACAGGCTTTGGTTAGAGTGTAAGGAGCTGCCGTCCACTCCTGCCCCCATCATTCCGTATCGACGGCAAATTTTAAGTCCTCCACTTTTGATTGATAGAGACTTTTCCCTTCCTCTTCTGCTCGCCATTTCAATGTCTTCCTTCATCCTATCATGTCTTGACATCATGCATTTATGTATCTGCACAGATCCTTGTCACCTTTCACAAAGGCCAGCAGATAAAGAAAGAGACTCGTAATGCCACACTCACCAACTCAGCTGTGTCACGAACACTGTCTTTAGTGCTAATTATTTTTGAGAACCCTAGTTCGGAAAAGCAACAGATGCAGAATTAAAAGCACGGACGCATATTTTTCAAAACGGTTTCTTAAAATCAATTTAGTGGTTTGAAACTAGTGATTCAACAAAAGATAAAATGACCGGGACAGAGGAGAAAACGTCGGAATGCCTCCAACACAGTATGCGCTCGCCTGACACCCGGGTTTCAGCCTCGCGTGCTCGCATCCTCAAGTGGAAGCATGTGCGACGCACCCCTTCCCACGAGTCCGGCCCAAGACAGCACTCCGGGCTGCTCCGTCTCCCCCCAACTGCGAGGCACGGATGAGTGGCTGCCACACCTTGCGGTCGTGCGCAGGAAAGGAGAACACGGTGCTGCCGCTCACAGAACACCCCCAGCACACGATGAACTGTGCCAGGACCCCGCAAGTCATCTTCCGCTCACTCAACACGGTGCCGTCGGGAGGGTCTGAGGAAGGCAAGGAGCCGTGGCAATCACGGAAGACTGGGCGGTGTGGGTGGCGTGGACCGCGGGGCTGAGTGAACCACAGGACAGCCGAGCTTTCCACCAGAACTGAAACAGGCAGTCACGCCAAGATTCTGAGCAGAAAAGTGACAATGACTTGAATTATGTTTCAGAAGGGTCCCTCTGGCTACGCTGTTGAGAACGGACCTCAGAAGGCAGGGAAAGGCAGAAGCTGGGAGGCTGGCTAGGAGCCTGCAGCAGTGACAGGGGTGACATCTGACGGCAGCCTGGATGGGCTGGGAGCCTGCAGCAGTGACAGGGGTGACATGTGATGGCAGCCTGGACCGGCTGGGAGCCTGCAACAGTGACAGAGGTGACACCTGACGGCAGCCTGGACAGGCTGGGAGCCTGTAGCAGTAACAGGGGTGACATCTGACGGCAGCCTGGACCGGCTGGGAGCCTGCAGCAGTGACGCAGGGGAGACACGATGGTGCGTGGACCAAGGAGGTGGCTGGGGAGGTACAGGCAGTTACTGGGATTTCTAATGGGTTGACCGCAGAGGACAGAAGGTGGGGGGTTACAGGGAGCCCCCAGAATCCTACCAGAACGGCTGGAAGAAGTTCCTCACTCGAGACGAAGTTTGGTTCGGGTGTTTTTCAGGAAGTCAGTCTGCATTCTAAACGTGAGCAGGAACCCGCTCACGAATGTGCCCTTCGCGCTCCGCGTTCCCTCCGACCCCTCCGGTGCCTCCTGGGATCGCTCCCCCAGCACACATCTGAACTCTCGTCTCAGGGCCAGCTCATGGCGCAATCCAAACCAAGACACCCCGGGAACTTGAAACCACAGGTACGGGCTAAAGGAATGCGTGAGGACGAAGCCACGTGAGGACTTCCACGTCCCTGGCCACGCTGCAAACGCGACTCCACACGCCATCTGTGCCCGCCGCCACACACCACAGACACCGTTGTTCGGAAAAGTTTCCTTCTGTCGCTTTTCTCAAATTAGCATGATAGCTGGTTTTGTTCTAAGTCACTGCTTTTGATCCCTGAACCACAGGCTCCTATACACTTTGAGCGAAAATGCCTGAGAATTAGGAAAAACAAGCTGCTCAACGTGGGGCCGCGAGAGAAGGAATCGCCGTCCCTGAAAACCTGAGACGATTCATCTGGCTTCAGCCTCGCTTAGTGTCCCCAGTGGGCCACCCGTGCGGGAAGCCACCTAGCACGCAGTCCCGGCATGGCAGCGGGGGCGCTGCTGCGGGGTCTCCAGCTCCGCGGCCCTGGGTGCTCACCTGACCCCCAGCGGTGGCCAGTATTTGAGAGCTCGCTCCACCGCACACGACGTGAGCAGGTTTATGCATTAACCGAGTAGCCGCCGCAACCGTGGCAGGCAGGTACTAGGATTACTTTAGAGGCGAGGAAACAAGGCCCAGACTGCTAGTGACTTGGCGCAGGTCACCCGCATGGTAAAAGGCTGAGTGGGAGTTGCACCAGGTGACCCGACTCTGGAGGCCACGCTCTTTGACCCTGACAGCATTGCTGCTGCCGGCTTCCTCCCACATTCACATCTGAGTCGGGCACTGTCCTAACCCCCATTACAAACGAGGACACGGAAGCACTGAGAAGTCACGCCTGGTACCGAAGGGGAATTGGTGAGCAGCGGGGCGAGCTGGGAGTCAGGTCCCAGCCTGGCCTCGGTCATCACGTTACCCGCTTCTCCTACCTGGTGCACAGCTAGTGCGTGCTAGGCCAGGCTGGGCACGGGGCCTGGGGGCCGGACAAGCACAGTCCTGCCTGAGAGACTTGTGTGGGGCCAGGACAGGGGAGTCCATCACCACGCGCCAGTGCGCAGAGCACCTCGCGGACTGCAGACGCGGTGATGGCATCAGGCACAGCGGGCAGGGAGGTCAGGGAAGGCATTCTGCAGGGCACACAGGGGTGGGCAACGTTGGAGTAGTTGGGAAGGAAGGGTGAAGGGCATTTCAAGGACAGGAGACAGGCCAGAGTGCCCATAGGGAAGGCAGGTGATGAGGCAGCAGAGGGGAGGAGGCCTGAGGGCCCTGAGAGCTAAACGAAGACCACTCAAGGTCTGAAGAGGCGACGCACCCCTTCTCTCCTGGCCAGTGGCTGGGATCAAGGCCTGCACGTGTGCAGTGACGGGACGGTGTGCGCAATGCACACCCCTCGCCCTCCTGGCCTTTACCTTCGTAATTATTAAAACTCAAGATCGATGGACCCTTTCCTGGTCTAGCTGCAAACAATGAACAATTTGGATTTTTGTGTTTTAACAACAGTAGGTGTATTTATTGAGCCTAACAACAGAACTGAAGATATACAGCGCAACATTAAGAATGCAGCCAAAAGCGGGGTGGAAATCACAACTGCTGTTTCCCGACATAACCCTTTGTGGCTGGTGGGTGTGTGGACCGA